TTCACGGCTCAAGAGATAGCAAGATTATTCCTAACCATTTAAACAAGCTGCATGGAGTGCCAAGATCCATTGTCTCAGACTGAGACAAGGTGTTTAATAGCCTCTTTCCAAAAAGATGTTGAGGTCAATAGGTAGCAATAACATCTAAGCACAGCTTACCACCTTCAATCTGATGGGAAAATAGAGAGGGTGAACCATGCATTGGAAATTACTTGCAGCACATGACTTTTAACAAACCAAATACTGGGTCTAAGTGGCTGTCACTTGCACAATTGTGGTATACAACATCACCTATTATTCAAGCCTCAATGAACCACCCTCTATGGTTACCCACCTCCATTGCTTATGGAACAAAGAGACTAAGCCACCCCATCTACAAGTTAGGAAGAATGGCTAAAAGAGAAGGAAGGCATGAATACGATTCTGAGGGAGCAATTGTTAGAGGCTCAAAACAGAATGAAACAGTTTACAAATGCCAAAAGAATTGAACAAGTGTTTGCAGAACAAGATTTAGTGTTATTGAAGCTGCGGTCTTACCAACAGTCCTCCATAGCTGTGAGAAGATATCTCAAACTGGCACCTAAATGTTATGGGCCTTTCAAGGTGGAAAAGAAGATCGGATCAATAGCTTACCCACTGAAATTGCCCAAAGATGCACAGATACACCCACTCTTTCATGTATCAATGCTTAAGAAATATGAGGGAAATATTCTCAGGGCCACATTGTGATTGGGCCTGAACAGATACTAAAGAAAAGGAGAATAGAGGTGAACGGGTTAACCATGCCTTGGTGAAATGGAAGAATATGGAACCTAAGGAGACGACATGGGAAAATTAGGAGTTCTTAAAGGGTCAATTTCCACAACTAGACCTTGAGGACAAGGTTGATGTCAAGTAAGGGAGAGTTGTCAGGAACAGCACAAAGCGGATGAAAGTAGGATCCTTTTCTGTCATTTACTTTCTTGTATTTTCCTTTTGCCAATTCTTTCAGAATAACTGGTTTAGGCGCATACGGGTAGGACAGACCAAGAAGCCAGCTTTCACGATTTGTCCTAGTTGTATTATCCGGGCCAGGCTGGTACTGGTACAAGTACTGTACCCGATGGAGGAAACATGGGAATGAGAAAAATATTCCGAAAATATCCCAATCCTTTCC